TCCATGTCAAGTCATTACTGTGACCGGGGCACCTTTATACGAAGCCAAGCCTCTTTCCAACAAACCTGCATTGCTTTACCTCCTCCCCTGGATGCCAGCCCTGGGAATTCTGCCCACAATCTTTTCAAAGAAGCTTTGTCTTTTCTTCGGCGGCACATACTGATTATCATCTCGGTAATGAATCAAGGGAGCCGCACAATGGTATTTACACAGACTCAGAGGTCATTTTTTCCAGTTCCACCCAAGAAGGTCACAAAGCAGCCTCTCCGGTGGACAGAAGCAATTTTAGACCTGTAATAGCAACAGTCCCCTGAACCATAGACCAGGGGAGAAAAAGACGTGATTCATCGGATGTAAACTTAGAAGCAATAAAAATAGGCTGCTGAGCTTGCCTGTTTTTGGAAAACACGGGGCCAGTCGACAGAGCTTTATAAATTTCTAAAGAGCCCACCTACACTCTTGTGTTAACTATGACCTTAACAATTCGTTCCAAAGTATTTAAGGCTCTTGTGCCTGCTGTGAAAGTATTTTTATCCGTCACCAAGGGCTGGCTAGAATTTTAAAGAATAAACAGGGGATTGCAGCCATAGTGATGGAGATCTTTTGGTGCCAGGTTGGTACACAAACTACGATGCCTAGAGCTATCCAAGCCCCCTGAGTCATACCCAGTCTTGTCTGATATTGGAAGCAAAGCAGGGTCAGACCTGGGGCCCATCCACACTATATAATTATAGTGCTATGATTCCACTTTAACTGCCATAGCAACATCCTAGGGATTCTGGGGGGGTCTGTAGTTTGGAGAGATTTTGTCGTGTGTTTCAAGTCCTTTCCAGTTCATGGCAACCCTAAGGCATGTTAGGGTTTTCTTGGCATGTTACTTCAGGGCAGTGGTGCCATTGCCTTCCTCTAAGGTTGAGAGAGTGTGACTTGCCAAAGGTCACCCAGTGGGTATCCATGACCGAGCTGGGATTCAAACCCTGGTCTCCAGATTCAAAGTCCAATGCTCCGACCACTACACCAGGCTGGCTGATAATCCTTTTTTTAAAATTTGTTTTTGTATTTCAGAATATTTCTAGCTGTATTTTTTAATGTAGGATGGGTCCCTTATGAGAGAAAAGCAGGCTATTAATTAATTGATTAATTAAAGCCCATGATAGAACAATTCATCCCCAGAGCCCATGAGCGGCATAAACAAACAGCATGCTCTCTCTGTCTGTCTCCCGGTTCCTCTGCTCCGCTCCCAAGAGAGAGAAAAGATATTTCAGAACTATAATTACTCAGCCAGAGTTATCTGCCATTTTAATAATCCTCTTCCACCATAACGAACCAACGATTCGCACACTCCAACTTGCAGGATTAAGTCATCCGCCGCCGTCCTTATCAAAGCACCTTTTGAAGAAGGCTAAAAACATTTGTCTCTTTAATTAGTTCCAGGCTTCACGCTTTTCTGCTTTTGGGGGGCTTTGCATCCGTTCAGCCGTTGAGGAAATTTCCAAGCAAAGGTGGAAACAAGGAGGTCAGTCCCCTTCATGGCTGGGTATCAAACCAGGCTCCCAAATCCGGCATCTTCCAGAGATGCTGGACTACAACTCCCATTATCCCCTGCCTCTGTGTGGATCATCAGATCTGGAGGATATCAGGTGGAGAGGAAGCCTGGACTAGCCCTTAGGACTAGCCCTTAGGACACCAGCATCCTGTGGCTCTCTTACACTTGGTTGTGCAATCTTCGGACTGCATATTCCTGTTGCACACTGTATTCCTGTTGCACACATTCAACACGCAGGTCATGCAGCACAATTCATGTGCTCCTTTGCAAATGGAGACCTAGGCTATGTAAACCTGTACAATCTCAGCCCTTGTTTAGGACAAGCAATACTCTTCTCCAGACTAGCTCCTGATGCTATGGTTGCTAAGACAACAGGCATGGTCTACCCCTCTGAAGCTGCAAGCCCAAAATATGTCTCCAAATGTGCAAAATTTGAGGTTTTGCACTGAATTAGAAAGAGGCAGTCTGTTTACTGAAGGCACTGAATGGATAAGGAAAGACACAGTCCGTAATTTTTGGACTAAGGATAAACAAAACCAACTGGAGGCCTGAAGCTGGATGGTGGGAGATCTAGTTCAAGCCCCCACTGGATCCTGAATCTCACTGGGTGATCGTGGGCAGGCCGTCCTTTCTCCACTTGACCTACCTCAAAGGGTCGTTGCAAGCTTAAAGTGGTGAGGAAGAGATCCACAGGCATCACCTTGAAGTGATTGGGAAAATGGCAAATGAATTTGCCCTAAATCCAATTGCTAGTCCCAACTAGAGTAGACCTGTTGCCTCAATGGGAACTTGATCGATCAGCCAAGGTCCAAAACACACTGCAGAAATAATCCAGTTTGAGATTGCTTTAACTGCCCAAGCTTAGTGCTAGAGAATCCTGGGAATTGCAGTTTATTGTGGCACCAGAGGTGGATAAATCTCTCACAAAAAAATACAGTTCCCAGAATTCCATAGCATTGAGCCAAGGCAGTTAAAGCGGTCTCAAAATGCTTTATTTCTTCAGTGTGTTTGGTACCCAAGTGGTAAGTTCCATGATTTAGTGGGTCTCTTCTGGTTGAGGCTAATAATTTGGCTGTGAGTAGGCCAAGCGTAGCCTTCCAGATGTTGTTGGACTGCAACTCCCATCATTCCTTACCATTGCCTACGCTGGCTAGAGATGATGTGTGTTGAGGTTCAGCAACATCTGGAGAGCCACCCTTTGCCCACCTTATGGCTTTTGGCCATAAAGAAGCGAAACTAAATATCATCACCAGAAGTTTATTTACATGCTGCTTTCTGTTGTAAAACTGTGCCCAAAGTGGCAATGTTAGAAAAATTGACATAATCAAATCCAACACTTCCAGATTGTTCAGTAGCAGTTACAAGCCTAGATGTAAATAGTGATACAAATGACTTTTTTTGGAGTAATGCACCCAGACTTTGCAGCTCACACTAGCAGAACTCACAGTGCTATAATAATAATAATAATAATAATAATAATAATAATAAATTTTATTCGCAGATTAAATAAGCCACTAATAATTCCCACAATAAGGCTTAGCAAAAGAGAAATACCAGAGAGAGTAGGAGGAAAAATGTGTACATGCAAATGTGGGAAAGAGGGAGGGAGAGAAAGAACAAACAGCTGCAAATATATATATATATATATATATATATATATATATATATATATATATATAATGCATTTTATCCCAGCTTAATGATCTGCCAGCCACATTGTGGTCTCTTTGTACTTTCAGCAATGGGTGCTGAGTTTGCCAAAAGAGTCAGACAAAGCCCCTGAGATATTCTGGACTTGTGTAAAAAAGTGGTCATGTCTTTATTAGACAACCTAAAGTAAGGTTATGTATAGTAAATATACTAAGGTAAAAGAAGGAGTAGATGTAAGAGCCAGTGTGTGTAGTGGTTTGAGTGTTGGATTATGACTCTGGAGACCAGGGTTCAATTCCCAGCTCGGCCATGAAACCCACTGGGTGACCTTGGGTGAGTCACACTCTCTCAGCCTCAGAGGATGGCAATGGCAAACCTCCTCTGAACAAATCTTGCCAAGAAAACCCCATGATAGGGTTGCCTAAAGTTTGCCATAAGTTGGAAGTGACCTAAAGGCACACAACATCAACAAAGGCTCTTGGCATTATCCTCAACATGGGTTCAGCACCTTGGATAGCTCTTT